TTTTTTTCTTTCAGCGTGATCAATTCTCGTCGTATATTGCAGACAAATCCAATGTACACGAGGCACCCTTTAACGTTTCACATTTTCCCACGGCCCTCTAAATTATTTTTCCCTCTTTCGCTTGGCGAATTTACGTATGACGATATTCCCTGCGGGACTCGCCGGTTTAACAGATCAAGTAAATCCCATTGAACGTCATTATGAATTCCTGTAGTAATTCCGTTTTTTTCATTCTCAGGGAGTGAGATCGATGTTAGAGTCCGCGCGCGATACGTAACAATAAATAGCCGAGTTAATTAAGAATTCATCTTGCGAGTGAATAATTGCTATTGTCTGGATGCAATTACGTCGCCGTTAAGTCCCGCGATGCGCTAGTTCGAACCACATGATGAATAAATAATTCAGGCGATAGATAATCATGATAATAGAGAACGGCTGGAAACTATTGTCATTTAATTTATATTACAATAAATTGGATTGTAAATTTGCTTGTGATTAGGTATGCACTGTTGTGAAGAAAGTTTAAGCTTTGTTCCTTTTGCTTTCAAGGAACTGAGATAATAATAATAATTTATAAATAATATATAGACTAATGTAATTTACAACATACGTATATAATTGTAATTCATGAGATAATATTTACTCTATGAATAAAATTTATTTCTCCTCTTTGTCGTTTCTTAAAAGAAGAAAAAAGAAATAGAAACCTGGAGATAATAATATTAGAGAATTATCGTAAATTTTCATTTGACGCGCGAAAGAGGCTATTAGATCGAATATCTATTGGTTCAGTTCATGCTATGCGAATTATAAATTTTTTTTTTTCCACGAATAGATGAACTTTGGTCCCTTTATATCTGAAAAGATGAGAACTTAAATATCATCGTAATATTTTTTGGAAGCAGATAGAAACTATTAAATTTAGGTTAATAATTGATTCCCTGATGAGTAAAAACCAGAGAAAAAAATATAATCTTCATTTCTCGTTTCTCGAAAATATGAAAAGAAATAGAAATTTGTACGTGTGCAGACACGGGAAAATTGTTGCAATATTTTTGGCCTACGTGAAATAGCTAGAAATATTGCATTCAAATCGGATACATATTGGTTCAATTTATCCCACGTGAATTACAAGCTTGTTCCCTATGAACAGACGGAAAAAAATTTAATTTTTGTTTCGCTTTTCGAAAATATAAAAAGAAATAAAAATACATTGTCCATGTGTATAGATAACAACTTGAAAATTGTTGCAATATTTTGGAACATGTGAAACAGCTAGAAACTATTGGACTTTGATCGATATTGATTCAATTTATACGTGAATTACAGACTTGTTCTTGACGAATGGACGAAAAGAAATTTAATCCTTGTTTCGTTTTTCAAGAAAGCAAGAAGAAATGGAAATAATGGATTAAATAAATAAACAGAAGATTTCGGGAGAAACAGAAATATACAAAGTTTGAATGTTTGAAAGTGTAGAATTTATAATACGTAAATTTAATCCACTTATGAGTGAGCAAACTCATTTTCTCTGAACAGACGAAGGAAATTTGATCTTTAATATCTTTTTTGATCTAAAATATCCTTTCCACGAAAGCGTGGATGTGTGAAATGTATAAATGAGAGAAAGGCCACGTGGCATAATAAAATTCTTCTCTTGGAGAATCTGCTGGTTACCTCAACAGTAATAAACGTAAATGAGTTGACAGTATAAATCAACGTTAGCGTGTGTCTCTCGGAAAGTGGATGGCTACGAGTGTATTGCCAGGTTCGGACGTTTCCACTCTCAAAGTTTATTCATTAAAGCCAGAAGTACCCTGTACAAATTTTAGCAAATCGTTTAAACTCGGAACACCCACGACCTACAGCTTCGACACTGTTCAAACCCTTATAGAACTGTAATATGCGAAAGAGAAACTTGCGAAATCGCTTTTACGAGATATCGGGCGGAAAATTCACTTAATAAATAATAATTTCGCTAGAAAACGAGAACAATATGCGTGAGAATTTCGTATTTTAGAAAACACCGTGACTGCGACTGCATTATTGAACTGATCAGTATTATAATCTGCGTGAAAATGTAAGTAAAAATAAGAAAAGAAGTTTGTTTGTAAACCATTTGTTACAAAATCAGAGTGACAGGAATAATTGAAACTAACAGTATGCAAAAGGCTATGCTTTGAAATAACACTCACAGTGGAACGAGAGTCGGAATAATTGGAAATTCCAATTCAACGATTAAAAATTCCATGCTACAATAGCAACAATATGAAATATTAATGCTTTCATAGAAGTAATATAGAATAATAAAAAATTTCTTTCCAATGGCAGAAAATCTTGACATTTACTTATCAATCAATTAATGATAACTGAGCAAGAAAATGACATTTTTCAACATTTTGTGGAATAATTTCACACTATAAAAATAATTATAGTAATTATTAGTATTACTACTATATATATTATTAGTAATTATTATTATTATATAGTATTATTAGTAATTAATATTATTATATATTATTATTATTATTTAGTATTATTAGTGATTATTATTATTATTACTATATACTATATTATTATTATATAGCATATAACTATATAGTATATTATTATTATAGTATACTATACTATATATATTATTAGTATATAGTATATAACTATATAATAATATATTATGTAATATATAGTATATAGTATACTATACACTATATTATATTATATAGTATTATTAGTAATTATTATTATTATTACATATTATTATTATATAGTATTATTAGCAATTATTATTATTACTATATAGTATTATTAGTAATTATTATTATTATTATATAGTGTTATTATTATAATAATTATAATTAATTATTGTAACAATATACAATAACACTAGAACTACCAACGAAGTGTAAAATTAACAAAGGAAAGGAAAAAAAGTGGAAGAAATAAATTTGCAACACGACGATATTTGTTTTAGATTCAAAATAACATTTGAATCTCAGTAAGATATCCTACACAATTTCTAACAAACGTTAGAATTACTGGCCAGGTTTCGGCAGTTCTAGGGGAACGGTAACGATATTCTCCAAAGACTCACGTGGACCATGATAGGTTCGGAGATGTCACCGTTGGTCAAGGGCTGTTCAACGTGTCCCTGAGGGGGTGGCGTGTCGACGAGGAACGGCGACCTCGGTGGTTCCTCGCTCTGGGTTCTGTGAAGAGGTTCGTGATGCTCCGTTTCATCCTTGCCAGCCGCGCCGGCCTGACCTCCCAACGGCGTGCCCAGTTGCCCGGCCTCCGAGTAGCTCTTCGTCAACTTTCTGCCGTTGAACAGGCCGTTGGTCTGCGCCCCTTGCGACACCATCTTCACCCGATGGATCGTTCGGGGGCTGAGCGTGACCGGCACTCGGCCACGGAACACGGCTGGCATCTCCGTCTGCGTCGCCTGGGTTTTCATCGCTCCGCGTTTCGGTGGCTTCTCTGAAACGAAATTCACGCTAAATCGGCGAAATCGGCGGCTAACGAGCCAGTCGTTCCCCCAGTCCAAAGGGAAAAGAAGAAACGGAGGGACAGAGGATGCAGACGTGACGGGAAGAAAGGCGACGCTGTTGGAAAAGGGAGCAGAGGTAAATCACTTTAGCTCCGTTCGTGTGTTAGCCTGGTTTGGGAGAGGAAGAAGATTCGATCTGAAGATCCTGTTCGGAAGAAGTTGCCTCGTCTGGTGGTTTGGAGAATTGTCGATATTCTTTTTTTTTTTTTTCTTTGAAAAAGGAGTTGAATAGACCTGTTTCTTTCTTCATAATCATCAGCTCTTGGAAAATTAAAAAGAAAAGCAAATTTTTATCATATCTCGCGCGATTGAAATTAATTTCAACTAAAACTTCCAAAATTGAACAGTACAGACAATGTAATATAGCACAGTATAGTATAATAGAATATAGTATAGTATAGTATAGTATACTATATTATATTATATACTATAGCATAGTATAGTAGAATAGAAAATATAAATATAAATGTAAATGTAAATGTAAATGTAAATGTAAATGTAAATGTAAATATAAATATAAATATAAATGTAAACATAAATATAAATATAAATATAAATATAAATATAAATGTAAATATAAATATAAATATAAATATAAATATAAATGTAAATATAAATATAAATATAAATATAAATATAAATGTAAATGTAAATGTAAATGTAAATATAAATATAAATATAAATATAAATATAGTATAGTATAGTATGCTATACCATACTATATTCTATTACTATAGTAGAATAGAATATAGTATAATATAGTATACTATACTATACTATATTATATAATAGAATATAATATAGTATAGTATAGTAGAAATATAATATTTATATTGCAACACATTAGACCCAGTATAATTATTTCACTAAACTGTAAATTCTTGAACGTTCGAATACAGAATTCAGACCTCGGAGTTGAAAATATTTCTTTTTCCTATCGCAACATCGAATTTTTCCAAAATCGAGGATGACGAAGAAAGATTTGTAATCCGTTCTGTTCTTCAGCGCGCAAAAGTTTACCTGTGACGTGTGTTTATTCACTGTTTAAAATATGAGAAGGAAAATATGGAAATTTCACAGTGTAATGATTCGTGTCATAATCTGTTTAATGTAGAAAATGATTGTGTGCTTTCAATTATGGATCCATTATCCGGTTTGTTATTTCAAATTCAGATAATAAATGAGATGAAATAATACGACGAAATTAATTGAAGAGGCTGCATTGTCGATACTAATGAGCAGCCGAAATTGATTGACGTTATCGATGAAAATTACAGAAGCATAAAAGAATATTTCATTTACAATGTCCATTGAATTTATATTTTTTATAATTGATACCACCTGTACAATGCAAATTTATGAAACAACGTGAAACAACATAATTTTATTAAAAAAAAAATCATAAAAATAGCTGACAGAGAAAGTTCGATTGTAGTTCTCTCGGTTCGTTGTAATGTATTCGTCGTCTTAATGAAAAACATTGTTCATTATAGTGTTCATTCTCAACCATTAAATATTATAGTGATTGAAAGTACTTTAAATACTTCACAGATTTTTCTATATTACCTGCACTATAGAAAATATATATAAATATAAATATTAAATATAAATATAAATGTATTATATAATACATAAATATATATATTATATATATAAACATATTAAATATAAATATAAATATATTATATAATATATAAATATATGTATTATATATATATATAACATTATTAAACTTTTTAATTTCACACAAACACTAAGATCTTTCCATTATATTAATAATAGAATGGATATTAATTTTTATAATTGTCTCAACTCGATACTAAACGAACAAATTAAGTTGAAAAGGAAAAAAAGTGATCATCGTAACGATACTTTTAATATCGTTTCTCTCCAAAAGCGAATGAATCAACGCGACACAAGAACAGCAACGAATCAAGCAATTTCTACCTGCCGCGAATCTCGTTCCCAGACGTATTCTCGAGAAACATATTCTCGAGAAAGTTGCCACAAAGTGGACGAGTAAGAAGCGGATATCATTCGTCGTAGAGATTATCCTGGCAATATAATTTACGCGAACCCTGTAATTCGACGTTCGTTAGGAATTAATTGAGGAAGCGAAATTAACGCTTTCACCTATCTCCTCGTAGTAACTCGCATATCGAAGATCTAATGTCAATGCGACGGGACTAGCCCCTCTATCGTTTCCTACGAGGAGAGACAGAGAGAGAGAGAGAGTTTAATATCGATTCTCACTCGAACCTCGACTATATTGGCAATTTGTTGGCTAATATTGAACTAACAGTCGGGTCGAAGGCAAGAAGTTAGTACCACGGAGGAGCTGATAATTTGTACACGTAATAGCGAAATAGAAATGTCCAAGTTCTCGAAATTTCGGATCGTGATAAGAGACTTGGCTGCTATACATTCAGAAAATGATCGTTTGAATGATTAATAGAATATTAACGAGCAAAATTCTCTGCTTCGCGGTGCTATTCGAAAGTTTTCGAATAATTGGTGACAATAAAATGACTGTTTGAAATATCAACGAACTGCAAAGTACACTCTATTTTAACATTGTTGCACGAAATTGAACAAACTACGCGCGACTGAATTTCTGAGGTTAGGATTTCCCTCGCATACGTATGTTCCTCGAAAGTATTTATTATGGGTATGAAATTCTTGAAATCTTATCAGAGCACTTCCCACCCCGGTAATATCCAATAAACGTGCCCTTTCAAAAATTCAATTCTGGATCATTAAAGCACACGACGAAGGTAAGTACATATCAGCCGGCCTGGAAATGAATTCAATCTATTTCCCGTAATGCGGGCTAAAATATGGATGATCGCCTATTTGTAGATATCCCGTTCGCGTCGATCCTTTTCTTTTCGTTTTCTCTCTTCCCTTTTTTTTTTTTTTTTTTTTTTATTCGCCGTTTTATGGAAGAATAAAATTGAATTCACGGTATTCCGCTCCTCTTACACGTACTTTCTCGCAGTTGTAACTGAAGAATGGTCGAAGACGTGAAAAAGATCGTGGAGGAGAAAATTGATCGGTATAAAGAGCGTCTACTCTTCTGCGGATTTACTTTTTTCGTAAATGCAACGTTGCACGTAGAAACTTCGTCTTTTTCAACCCCCCTGCGCTGGCAACTGGTTCGCGGACCATAACGAGTGACCGAACCGTATACAATCATTCGTCGCTTTCTCTTTCTTTTGAACTCGTCAGTATATAAATTTATTATTTATATTTTATTAATTTATTGTTTATTTTTTTAATATGTATTATTTATTTTGTCTGGGTTATACTTGAATATACTTAAAACTGAGAGAATGTTGCAACTCTCGCCTCTGTAAAAAGGTACTGAATGTGTGTCGAAAAATTGTTAGTTCAGGGGATATTTTAACTATAATTTATGTGTGAAAGACAAATGTGTTCTTGTCCTTCCTCATCTTTCGTATGGTAAATTTTACGAAGTTGAAGTCAAAGTATTTATCAAAGTAAATAATTTTTCATCGAGCTTCGTTCGATTAATGTATAAAAGAAATGTACAAAAGAAAGTTGCGTTTGAATTTTCTATGAACATCGTCGCATTTACGAAGAAAGCAAGCCTGTGGAGAGGTAGATCCTCTTATACCAATCAATTTTCTCTTCTGCAACATTTTATCTCCTAACATTCCTGGGATATAACCTGTTACAGTTACGAGAATCAACCTGCGTATCGCATTACCGTCGAAAAGAGAGAGTACATTCGCATTTATAAATTACCCGGCATTTGCTCATTTCGAACAAAATGATTACAACATCAATATCATTCCTTCGTGTGATTCCGTTTAATTTTCGTTCATAATATCTTGAGAAATTAATTGTGTAACTTAAATAAATTTTATCAATTCGAAATCTTGGATGCAAAACTATGGATTTATACGAAATTAATAAATAACTTGATTATATCATCCTAAGAACGTGGGAGTCATTTAATGTGAAAACTAGAGTGAAGTCACTGGTGACTATAGCGATTTGCTACAAAAATATGTAACGAACATTTAAGTATTTTATATTTCTCTTGAATTTTCAAAAATTCCAAGATCGAGAAATGTGAAACACAAATTTTAATAGCTTCGAATAGCCAATAATAGGAATTATGATTAAAAAATAAAAGAAACAGTATCATGCACTATAGTGAATGGATTGAAATAGAATGAAAATAGACTTATGCAGATAGATAAATACAATTTGAAAATTTGTATAAATTATTTAAAGAATTTAGAAAAAAAGCAATGTATTATAATTAAGATTATAGCTTATCATTAATAATCACAGATGATTTAATGTAACTACATTTTAATTATATTAAGTGCTCGATGATATATGAACAAAAGTTGATCTAACTGTTGAATTTTCATATTGTTTTATGCTATTTTCTCCCGAGAAGATAAGAACCTAGCATTATCTCTTCGTTGTTAAAGGTGTAAGCTTCCCATGATATTATTACGGAGAAAGTATAATTTTTCACAGCGTCCATTTTTCACGAGTTTCGTATTTGAAGACTCTTGCAGAAAACACTCTGAAAGTATTGAAATATTTTGTTGTTTTATCGGAAAATGTTGTACGTGCCAATAAGAATAACTGTACTACACAATTAAGTTTACTTTCCCTCCATTTCCTCAATTTCCTTCTCATAATTTAATTTCCCCTAATTTCCTCTTTAATCTTCCTCAAAATACAAGTAACTTTTTCCATTATATAAAAAAATTAGCAATAGCATTCCGAGATTATTACATTGTTTCCAAGTTCAACTGAAGAAAAAATTGAAAAAAACCACTATAAATGCTACATCAAATTTTTTCAGTGTCAAATTGATATGCTTTTGTGATACTACTTTTGTAATTTACTTACAAGTAAAAAGAACATATTAAAAAAAATAGTAAAAGGAACTTATTAAAGAAAACTAATATTAAAAAATATTTAAAAAAATATTAAATATTAAATATTATAAAATATTAAAAAATATTAAATATTAAATATTATAAAATATTAAAAAATATTAAATATTATAAAATATGAAAAATATTAAATATTAAACTTTTATTTTCTATACCAGTAATTTAGGATCAAATATCTCTTTGTTAGGATTCGCAATATTTCTTTTTATAAATGGCACACTGAGTTTTCCTTTTATAATGGTATTCTTCATTTCTTCAAAGAAATGGCACTAAAAATATAATCTTCTTTTAACGTAAATTCAATTTCTCTATTAATTTCTTTAATTTCTTTATCTAAAAGTAGGACAGACATTTATATTTCGTAATTTAAAAAAAATTTTATAAATAATTTGAAGTTAATTAATATATTTCCCCTCTTAAAAAATTTGATTTCTGGCAGTTATACTAGACTATTAATTTTAATTAGAATGCACATAATATGATTTAAAATAACGTAATGACATGTATAATACAATGTAATATAAATCTATAATAAAATACGGTGATTCTTGTAACATTTGGCGCGCAAAACAATTTTCCATCAAGATTCTATTTCTCTTCTAATATTCTAAAAAAGAGAAAACATGAATTCACATGAAAATCCTTGGTCTATTAATCACCAACTGAATGTCCGTTAAAAAACGAAAGCTACGTATCGGCTTTTCCTTTTTATCGCTAGTTCGTGCTGGAACAATAGAACTATTTCACTTTGATAGGCTGTTTCTTAATCACGAATGATTGATGAAGTGTCATCAAGATGTCCAACTTTTTAAGATTTCCATTGCCACTTTACTAGAAACCTGCATCTTCGTGAGAACAAAGCTTCTGCTTACGTCATTGTATTACACCGGATAATAAAAATAATTAATAAGCGAAAGCTCGTCGTTTCGAAAAACCTATGCAATATTGAAGATTCGAAGCTCTACGTAGAGAATTATTGCGAAAAACTGCTGGAAAAAAAAGGACGACAGGAAGTGCTCCGTTTCGTAAATACTTCACTAAGAACTTCATTAATAAATTGCGAATTTTTAAACACGTTCATGACAAATCCAGAGATGCAGAAATGCATACTAAACATTAAAATATATTTAAATTAAGTAATTTTAGGCACAATAGGTACAAATAATTTTTGTAGATTAACATTCAATCCAATATAATGAAAAGACAATATTTAATAAGTAAAATAATTTTTAAAAGTTCTGCCTTTTCAATTATCCTCGCAAGATACAAAATTACGTAAATTCGCAGTCTATTTACAAAAGTTCCATTCCCATAAAAAAGGAATATAATTCGTTTCACGATTAATTTATATCGTGAGTTATTAATAAATAGCAACGCACAAACAAATCAAAACTCACGCTATAAAATAATATTACTCAACAACAGGAAATTATCCTGTTGAATTTCCTTTGTGCATTTATATTAACAGATTACGTAGATTGTCAATATTTCCACAAAATACATTTATTAACGCTTCAATAAAACAATAAGCATATATTGTCTTCAACGTGGAAATATTTTAATTCTTTGTGCTAAAATTTCATTTATTTACCTTTAATAATAAAAATATATTTTTAAATATATTAAATTTTAAAATATATATATATAATAAATATAATAAATATATTAATATATTAATAATTAATATAAATATATTAAATTTTAAAATATAATATATATAATAAATACAATAAAAATATATTTTTAAATATTTTAAATATATTAAATTTACATATATATTTAAAAGTGTTAATTAACAAATGAGAACCTATTAACAATATTAGCAACAGACAGACTACAACAATTCAGTCCAAATTAATTTATGTGTGAATTTCGGAGTCGATCCAAGTTAGAGAACTTCTTCTTATATTTTTGAACTAGATATTAAATTCATTAAAAAAAAAAAAAACTAATAAGTATCTTTGTTCAAAATTAGTTGAAATGCAAAACTGACTGGCAGAAGTGTCAAAAATTCTTTTTGGAAAGCTTTACAAAGACATTACATATTTTCTTGTATTCCAAATGCAAATATTCAATAAAACATTACGTACTCAGTTTTCTCGTCTGTTACAACACAACAAATAGTTAATGTACTTCCCAGCAATCCATACGTAAACAATTAATATCATTTCCATAATTGTTCCATAATTCTATTTCTAAAAATTAAAAGAACGTTGAAATACTTTTATGACATTAGTGCCATTTCTTAATCCTCAGTGGAAACTCTTGCAGAGAGTTTCAGCATCGAGCAACTTTTGTTACTAATTCCGTCTCTATTATTGGTTGAAACACCGCAAGAAGTTCGAAGCCTTAATTACGCGAACCTTAAATGCCCGCGGAAACTTCTCGCTCGGTGATCTGGTTTGGCGTGGCTTCAGGCGGAGAAAAATTTCAAGCGCGAGCCGTGTCCCATTGAAACGTTCCCTCTAAAGGGTTCTTTTGGCACAATGTTCAGCTTTAGTTTCAAGTTACGTTCACAGGATCTATTTAGATTGCACGTAGTAAACGTGTACGTACTTTCGAAGGGACAGCAAGTCTGCAAGTCCTCGCGAGAAAAACGAGACGCGAGTAAACCGTGAAAAATGCGAGCGCGTGAAAATTGACCTCCAAGGTGCTGAGACGTTCTGAGACTCGTGGAAAAATACGCGGAATTTCAACGAAACGTATTTTCGTAGCGTTGAATGGCGTGCATTAACGTGTCGTCTGCTTTTGATTTATTCCAATTAAGAAATAAATAAAAGCCCAAGTTTTCACAAAAGCCCGAGTATCAAATTTTGCACATAGTACAAAACTCTGTACAAGTATATATGTACATCAGCAAATTTCGATCGTTGCAAATGTTTTGCAATTTATTTATTAGTTAAAATTCAGACAGATTCTGGAAAGACTTTAACGAGCCTTGTATCTAGCTCTTTCAGACAAATGTAAAGAAAATTGAATATTCAAACACTGAATATAAAAAATACTCAATGCATTCGTGTACATGGATGTATAATCATACATTCGAATATTGAATATTTGTCGAAATACGTGCACGTTCAAAAAATGCATTCCTAATTTCGGACTTTCGGCAAATTTTCGTCGCTCAACGCGGGCTAATTCGTTTTGATACAGATTTTACGCTCGCGGCCTTTAATGAGGCATTAAGACACTTTGACGAGTTAACTTCGTGCAGGATAAATACACGCAAAACGTTGGGCAACGTTGCGCGCAATTACTCCAGGCCGCAACGTTAATTACCGTATTTACTGGAGAAAAGGGACTCACCGAGGACAATAACTCGGGGCTCGTTAGCGGTGTACGGATGCATCATGGGTAAAGTTGAAGGAAGCATGGCGTTCTGTATCGTTGGCTGTGAATCTATGAGGCGTTCCTGGTTCTGCGGTCTCGGCGGGCTTCTGCTCCTTGGAACGTCAAAGGACGTGAGAGTGTGCGATCTCGCGAAGCTCACGTGCTTCGTTTTCGGTGCCTGGGAGGTGGGCGGCGGTGGTGCTGGCGGCAACACAGGCCGAGGGCCCTCCAATTTCGTTGACTCTTCGTCCTCCGGTAGCCATGTGTACCTGCAAACAGGAAAGTTCATCTTCTAATTTACAAGTAGGGGAAATAAAACTTACTCCTCTGTTATTCATTATATTTATTTCTGTTAACTTCAGTAATTATCTTTAACTTTAATAAATTTTTTTCAATTAATAAAAAAGTCAATTTAGAAAAGAAAATTCCGCCTGAGCGTGGATTTAATCGAATTTCGAAATTTATATTACCATTTTCAATAACTTTCTTTTTTAATTAGATTATTATCTTTAATTTTTAACATTGAAATTACTTTATTAATTCCTATAAATTTTTATTATATAATTAATATAATTATATTATTTTTATTTATAATATTATATACAAATATAATGTTATAAATAAATAATTTATTTATAGTATTATAAATAAAATTTAATAAATAATATTTATAAATAAATAAAATAAATAAAATATACAAATAAAATAAATAAAATAAATAAAATACATAAATAAAATAAATAAAATAAATAAAGTTTATAAAATTATTTTGTGTAAATACCGAATGTTACACTTTGGACGTTTTATTTATAAATATTATTTATAAAATATTATTTATAAAATATTTATAAATAAAACGTCCGAAGTGTAACATTCGGTATTTACACAAAATAATTTTCTTTACCGATTTAGATCTTTAAAAAGAATGAATTTGCATAAATAATCATTACATCATTACCGCTGGCCAACATTGAACATATATTTTTTCTACTGAGAGATCTCGACAACGAAATTTAGGTCCTTTATCCCACAATTTCTGTTTTCTTTCCTCTATTTCCCTTTATTTTTTGATAAATTTTCCGATTCCGTATATTCGACGGTTTCATTTTCATAAAAGCACGCATTGTTTATTGCCGCTGTGTTTGAACGAACGTGGTACGTGCAAATATTATTCATATTAGTGCAAATGTATGCCGCGATGTACAGAAATTTCATCGGAAACGAATGGATACTATCGGAGATATATGCCACATTAAATAAAATTTTCCGGCTTGCTCAATTCACTCGCCGTGCGTAATGAAAGAATATTGGGAATTATAAATTTTGTAATTGAATAAGGAAGGGAACAATCAAGTGTTTAATTGTTTAAAATTACAGGGCAAATATTCTCTATATTACATAATAATTACAGTGGTTCACGAAGGAATTTAAAAATTTGCGGACAATTTCTGTGAATATATTATACAAGACATTCTGGAATTTTATAAACGCTACAACAAATATTATAATTGTATTGGCAAAATTTTAAACGAGCTTTTGAATATACATATATGTAATTCATAAAAGATACTCGCATATAGTCTTATTTTCTAATGAATTTATTAACTCTTACATTTCATTTTACTTTTATTCCATTTCATTTCATTTCAGCTCCTACATCTCATTTTCATTTAATTTTTAAATTAAAGAACTTTTCAATTCCATGCAATTTTTATAGTTACATGAAGATACTATTAACTGATACGTATTAAATTATAGTATTAAATTGAAAAAGTTGCATAGAATTAGAAAAAGTTCAAAAATTAAATAATTAAATGAAACGTAGGCGAACACAAAGCGAACGCGCAATCACGCGATCTTTTTATATAGATAAAGAGATCTAGCCGAATGTAAACTGTCCTCGAACGTCATGGCTTCATACCTCTCGCGCTGAGAATGAAGTGCCACGCACGTCGAGAAACTCTTTCGTCCCAAATTGCAACATTCTCTCAGTTTCAAATATATTTAAGTGTAAACCCAGGCAAAATAAACAATAAATTAATAAAAAAAAAAAAAAAGTAAATAATAAATTTACTACTGACGAGCTCAAAAGAAGAAGAAAGCGACGATTGATTGTACACGGTTCGGTCACTCGTTATGGTCCGCGAACCCGCAGTTGCCAGCGCGAGGGGGGATGTTAAACAGCGTCGTTTCAGCCGCGGAACGTAAAATGAAAAGGCGGAGGCGTTGCGCGGACGCGTGCACGAGCTTTCTGGCACCGATGATCCAACAGGTGTCGCGGAAGAACGTTTCATAATCGCGAGACAATGGCCGGGGCGTTAACGATCCAAAGAAAGCGCGTCGCGTTTTCTTTTTTCCTTTTTCTCTTCTTTTTCTTTTTTTTTTTTTTTTCTTTTTTTTTTTTTCTACCGGATGACATTAGGATAAAAGCAGACCGGCAGGGGGTTTCCTTGGCCGTGGATCCGCGCGGCTTAATTAACCGGTTAGCCGATAGACATTTATTTCTGCCCGGGGACACGCCGGCTTTTTATTTAACACGCCACGACGAACGATATTGCCACACGCACGGCTCCGGCTACATTCTCGTTCCCATTGTGTCGGTGAGAAACCGATTCTCACGTGTGACAGGCATTATCTCGCGAGAAAAGTGGGTGACGCCCAGGCGACGTTGCTGCCGCGACGCTGCAACAACGACCTAAATAAATTGCACTTGGACTACCGTCTGTACGTCGAGGGGTGCGTAATAACCTCGCCCCTCCGCAGCCACTCTCTTTCCTACGATTTTAATAAACAGAATTTCGCCTCTACGTCTCTTGTTTCCTGTTTCTTCTTCTTCTTCTTTCTTTTTTCGAGAAACGTGTAATTCCTGAGTCTTTGAAGAGAGAGGAGGCCAGGTTATGATAATTTTAATTGCGAATAAAAGGGTGGACGAACGTGCGCTTGCTACTTTAAATTGCACGCAAGAAGTGAGAAAAGTTAGTTTCAAGAAAGATATTTGATCTCTAAGTATGTCATTTGAAAAGTGATTATTTGAATGTTTAGTAGTTCCCTGTTTTAAGAGAGACATTAATGTTTAAATGTTATTTAAAAGTGAGATGCAATGAAGTGATTGTAAGAATGTCTGTAATGTTAAAAAAATTAATTATTTCTTGTTATAGTTTAATGAACATAATTCGAATTGGGTGATATACTGGCAAACAAAGGAAAGTTTAACCCTTTGTGTCTATTATTTTTTCGACCTGAAATTGTATATATTCTGTGGAATTCGAATCTGAAGATTAATAAAAAATTCCAATTCTACGTTTCGACATACTTTACGTTTAATACGATGTAATGTAATAAGCTGATTTATGATTTAAAAAAAATAATAATAATAATCGTAAGGCAAGCAGTTAAAATAATTAGCACGTGTATAACGTGTGTTTCATAATTAGATGACTTTTGGTCGACACTAATAACAGCGATTTATTCTGACCTGTACGTTAATCTATTCATTCGTTTTATTAAATAAAATTCCATTTCATAAAATTATTGATTAACTCGTGGCACTCGCTTTTTCAACTTCCTTTCGTCCACCACGTATCAACGAATGGGATGAATTTTAATCATAATTTCTCTTGGTGTTATTGCGTGAAATGGTGACATACAGAAACGTACTGAAATACAGTATTGTTCTATTATTTTATATTTATTTAATACTTACATAACATTTGAAGCAAATATGATAAAACTTATCTGAAGATTCTATTCTTCTTACTTATTATAAACACAATTAAACTAAATAAAACAATCGAATACTTTGTATAATAGTCTATTCTTATAAATATTCTAAAAATGGTCAAATAAGTGAAAAGAATTTTAAATGCTACAAGTGACTAAATAACATTTAAGAAAAGGAAGAATACAGTCGCATTGCACTTTCATTTGAAACGTAATATTTCGTAAAAATTCCACAAACAAAAACACGTACAAAAGTGCAGCGTGTTGATTATACAGTTGCCTTGAAAAAAGATATATCATTAAGCTGATCTGACTAACAAACGTGATCTAATCAAGAGCACTCTCAGGTCCTTATTCGCGTCCAATGGCATTGTAATTGCTGGATTAATGTTCAAAGTTACTGGCAGCCCTCTTTAACACGCTGTCGGAATATCTCGACTGGTTATCAACCAGTGTACTACAAGCCAAAGGGATTCGCGAGGACACTTCACGTATCGAAGTTGGAGGATTTAAGTCCAGAGATCGAGACGTCAATCAAAATGAGCTGGAGCACCATTATGCATCAGCCATACGTGATCCGCGGTTTCGAGAGGCACGCAGTTCAACAATAGTTCGAAACTGGTCGAAGACAAAGCACAAAGCGTGCACTTGCCGCGGCTGCTAAGTGTTAACGCATCGGCACACATAATCGGCTTCCCTAACGTGACAATTTTTTTCTTTTTTCCCCGCGATAATAATTAAAAAATCGATCGGAATCACGTGACCACGCGCTTATTTTTCCGCGCGTCGTGCTCGCATCGACGCGCTAACCAAAGTCTAAATACGGCAGCGGGCAACCATAATTTCTCATCGATTGGCTTTGAAGCCAATGTCGACGAAGGCTGCACCGCAGCAATCAGAAATAAACCAAACCCCTTGAGCACGCCATCGGACTCGAGGAGAGATCGGGGCAAGGTGAGAGTAACGAAAAAAAATAAGCGTAATTTCTTTTTACTTCTTGTACACAAAACAGCATCTTAATTGATCCGACGATTTTCTTTTCAATTTTTCGAGGTAAGCATCGCTTATTGAAATCGTAACGGAATTGTTTCGGATGTAAGGCATTGAAACGTTGCGTATAATTTTCATTTATCAACGGAAATTCAGCTTGAAGAAATTAAATTTAAAATTCGAACTGAAGTTTCATACAATGGTTTGTCATTTGCTTCTTCTTTCAAAATCGAAACTATCACTTGCAAGACAGGAAATTAACGAAACAATGTTTCGCACATTAGAAACTAAAATAACAAAATAACAAATAATTCTGCTGTACTACTGTATTACTTCATAACAGTATAATAGTAATAATAATAATAATATTAATATAACAATAATAGTATAAAATAATATATAAATATATTAATATAATAATAAATTAATACTAAATAATTTTGGTTTAAAATTGAAAACCAATTTGTGAATGACAGAAAAAAATAATTCTGCTATGTAGTACGTTCGATTTAATATCTAGAAACTAAAATAAGAAATAATTCTGCTGTACTACTTCATAATAGTATAATAATAATATAATAATAATAATATTAATATAATATTAATATAATAATAATAGTATATAAAATAATATATAAATATATTAATATAATAATAAATTAATACTAAATAATCAAAATTAAAAACTAATTTGTGAATGACAGAAAGAAATAATTCTGCTATGTAGTACGTTCGATTTGATATCTAGAAACTAAAATAAGAAATAATTCTGTTGTACTACTGTATTACTTCATAATAGTATAATAATAATAATAATATTAATATAATATTAATAATAGTACAATAATAATAATATTAATATAATAATAATAGTAAAATAATATATAAATATATAATATATTAATATAACAATAATGGTATAAAATAATATATAAACATATTAATATAATAATAAATTAATACTAAATAATTTTAAAATTGAAAACTAACTCGCGAATGACAGAAAGAAATAATTCTGCTACGTACGGTTTAATATCTAGAAACTAAAACTAATTTGCCAAGTGCTGATCATTCGCTTTAGACAACACACAATTAAACTCGTCTTGTATCACTGACTCGAGCATACGCGCGAATTGTACCAAAAAAAATTAGACTGTGTTATCGACAGAAATAAAAATAAAACTGCCGCCCCCCCCCCTTTTATTGTATTTCCTCGATTTCTTCTCTCGATCGTACGTTTCTCTCCTCAGCAGTAGCAATAACCAGTCGATAACGAGGTTTCGCGAAAGCGTCACGTCAGACAGCTGGAGGGGGTTACAAACTCCCGAACATCCTTCTTAAGATTCTGGCCGGTGCCCCGGTGTATTTTATACTCGAAGTTCCGAGTGGTTAATTCCTCTCGGTGCCACTTCGGGAATATTTACACCGTCGAATCACGGCACCGCGAACGACGACGATGTCTCTCATCGTGCGGCAAACCTCCTTTACGCCCTGAGAGAATATTATCGCGGCAAACACGGTGCTAAATTTGTCGCACAACTCGATATTAACGAGTTACCGCCACGACGGCCACTCCTATTTCTTCTTTTTTCGAATCTGCTCGCGAAGAAATTGGGAAAGGAACGGACGAGCTACCGAGGATTCAACGACGCGAACGACGACGCTGGTTTATGATTGCCGCGGCCTCATTTGCATTTTCGTGGTTTGCATCCTCGATATTTTCGTTTCCTGTACTAGGCGGTACCACCGTGCAAATGGTATCTAAAGGCATCGTCGTAGATGCGACACGGAATTAATGAAAATATTTCAACAAAGGTGTGAGGGGGAGAGTGAGGCAGAGATAAATCGAAGCGCGTAATTTGCATTTACGATTTAATGCAACGAGTTTGTCGTTGGACGGGGAATGTAGCAAGATCGATGGCGATTGTTTAAACTTTGACGCGTGCTGCGCTCGCGAAAATTAAAATGGAGAGATACTTCTCTGTACATCGTGATTAGAGTAAGCACGAAATTTATTATTCTTTGACAGCTAATGTATAAATTTCGTTCTCTACGAGACTTTCCTTGTTACACCGATACGAAACAGGCGATACGGTATAGTAATAAAAATGGAATATTTCCCAATTCTTGTAGAATTAATTTAATTGAAGAGTTACGAGAACGATTCGGTAATTGAGTCGTTCAGAGACTGAATTGATTATAATATTTGAAATAAATCTCCTTGATAATTATGTTTAACGTCACCATATTAACCAGAGTTAATAACGAATAATTTGTTTCAAAAGCCAGTGTGATTATGCCAGGGATATGCTATTTTATACATTTTATAATAAATTTTAAAAGAAATTTCAAAAGAAATATTTAAAAAAAAAAGAACGTGACAGTTTCTTTATTTTTCATTTTGCAGAGTGAAGAATCGATTTGGAAAATGAACGGCTCATTTGACCGCAACGTAATTATAAAATCTATCAAAACAACAGTTTTTACAACATTAGTTTTTAATATAGCCAATGCATCTAGTCTATTTATAAAGTGTAAATTTTCTCTTTTTAATACTGCTGCAAAAAGTTTACAACTTTCAACATCTTTCGTACTTCTAGTAAAATTTAAAGGCCTGAATGTGATTTGACAATCATTTTTATTAACTATATATATATATATACCATATAACTATTATATATACCACATATAATAATATTAATACCATATATATAATAATATTGATTTTTTAATAATTAATAATTTGTGCATTGCTTTGATTACGGCAACATCCTTTCTGCCATATTCCTTGTGCACTTATTTTTAAGTAATCTAAATTAATAATAATAACGCTTGAATAATGAAACATTATGTGTAATAATGTAATACGAAACTATTAATCCTTTGCACTCCAAACTATTTTTTGAATTTTCCTTTTGGTGCAATTTAACTGGCAATTTAAAAATATCGAGCGTGTATAATATAAGAGTTCCTGTGATGAAAACCGATGTCGAAAGCTGTGACAAAACGTACGTGCGTATTTTTACAATTTTAGGTATTTGCTTTCATCATTTTAGCAAAAAAAAAAAAAAAGAAAAAAAAAATTGCGTGACTTTTGTCCATATGTCAACGAATAAAAATTAAATTTTAATCTTAAACCTTCAAGACTTACCGAGAACAAAAAACGATATTATAAAATATAATATATTATAAAAGCTCCGTTTGCCCACCCTCAATTCAACCAGAGACTATATTATTAAAACATAATGTTATTTAAACCTCAATTCAACCGCCCACCCTCAATTCAACCAGAGACTATATTATTAAAACATAATATTATTTAAACTCTATTTTCGTATATATTGCAGGGAAAAAAGGACGATGAAACGAGAACATCATTTGGAAAACGAAATACCATTTTTTTTTTTATCTTACACTGTATCTCCGCGACTTGCAAACAGAAAACAGACTCACCTTTTCGGGTCGGGGACGGTGCAGAAGGACCTGGGTCTGCGCCGGAAGTAGGAACTCTCGATCCAGTCGGCCTCGTCCTCGAAGTCGTAACGGGACAAACCCCTCGAGTAGGTCGGGTAGGGCTGCCGGTACATGATCTGCAGGGATCGTCGTGGGTAAGGAGCGTCGCAGAGGTTCTCATCGCTTGGCACGCTCCTCACGCAGGCGGATAGGATCGAGGTCCTCGCGGAGGTGCACGGTGACGGGCCCCTGGTCGACAGGCAGCCGAAGAAGCCACCGCCCGACTTCTCCACCGCGTCCAATTGCCGGCTGGTTATGCAATACTGCTCCTTGATGTCCTCGCGCGAGTACAACGGGGTCGCCCTGCGATCCCAGTCGATGCTGATGCTGCCAGCTGGCGCCCCGAAACCACCGTGCAGATCCACCTGGGTCGAGACGTCCACCTGTCACACGCACGCAACGCACGCACCGATTAGTGGGAAATCGATGGAGGATTCGCGGCTTCAACACGAGGCCAACACGATGCAAGTTTAAACACTTGTGACACGCGCGTCGAGAATTTTTTTGCTCCAATATTGCAATACCTTCTCAGTTTTTAACGATAAACTTATTACTTCTCAACAATTTCTATCCAGTGACAGCATACCGGCGAGTTCGAAAAAGAAAGCGACGAATTATCGTGCACGGTTCGGTCACTCATGCCAGCACAATTGGTTAATTTTTTGCGCTGGAATGGAGTGCCACGTTGAGAAATATTGTTCCAAAATTGTAATATCTTCTCAGTTTTAAGTATATTTAAGCAAAACAAACGATAAATTTATTACTTCTCAATAATTTCTATTTAGTGATATCATACCGGCGAGTTAAAGAAAGAAAGTGACGAATGATTGTATACAGTTCAGTCACTCGTTATGGTCCGCAATCAGTTGTCAGCGCAAGTGGTTAACTTTTTGCACCAAAATGGCGTGCCACGTTGAGAAATTTTGTTCCAAAATTGTAATATCTTCTCAGTTTTAAGTATATTTATGTAAAACAAACGATAAACTTATTACTTCTCAATGATTTCTATCCAGTGACATCATACCGGCGAGTTCAAGAAAGAAAGTGACGAATGATTGTATACAGTTCGATCACTCGTTATGGTCCGCAATCAGTTGCCAGCGCAAGTGGTTAACTTTTTGCACTAAAATGACGTGCCACGTTGAGAAATTTTGTTCCAAAATTGTAATATCTTCTCAGTTTTAAGTATATTTAAGCAAAACAAACGATAAACTTATTACTTTTCAATAATTTCTATCCAGTGACATCATACCGGCGAGTTCAAGAAAAAAAGTGACTAATTATTGTATACAGTTCGGTCACTCGTTATGGTCGGCAATTAATTGCCAGCGCAAGTGGTCAACGTTTAACGCTTAGTGTTGCGTCGACGTGCATACATGTGACAAATTCAATGAATTCAGAGCGAAACAATTTCTTTCTTTCATTCCACCTTTCTCCGACTGAATTTGTCTCTTGGCGACACGAATTAATGCAACAGTGAAAGATTGATATTTGCGATCAGACCGCGAATTTTTGTGCGTCCGTGAGAAAATTAGAAGTGCATGTAATACCCGAAGTAACTATTATAATATTTAGTACGTGAAAGAAACGTCTGTCTAGATTAAAAATACATATGAAGTTTGCATAAAACTCTGAGTCTATCCATAGAGAATAAATAAATAGTTACATTTGTAAATTCTCTAATTAACGCCAAGTAGAGTAAGTTTTGTATTGAACTGCGTATGAGATTCGCACAAATCCTACTCTCGCGTGTAACTGTTCAATTTCATGTATCGTGCATCTTACTTCCTTTAATTTCTTTCCAACAGCTATAATGATTCTTTTGTCACGACTAAATGAATATTATTGGCGACTCTGGAAACATATTCTATTATCAAAAATGTTACAGAACTTTACCTCTGTACGAACTATAAAATAATACAACTCTTACAGCGTTAGCTTAAATAACTATATCTATGATAATATTACATCATGAGTTGTGAAATTAATTATAAACGGGCGATTCAAGTATTTTATAATCTGCAATAAACAGTGAACAAAATGTTGTAATAAATACAACGTTGTGCAAATAATCTGAACTTAATTTTATGAAACAAAGTTCATAGTATCGTTGATCATGCAACTGATTAATACTTAATGAAGTCTCAGAGAAAAAAGGACTTTTTTTCATTCGAAGGTTAATTTTTCTTGCAACTGAACATTTTCCTTCGCGTTTCACTTTGCAGAGTTAATTAACATTCAACGCCAGCTATGTACAAAGTTTCCATCATAGGGGATATTTGCATTAACTCTTCCGTTTGTCCGTGCCCTTATGCTTTTTCCAAACTAGACAACGAATACACCAGCTATACTTTGCGACTGTCACGCAGCGTTGAAAGATTAAAGATTCACTTTGTAGAATGTTGAACGCGAACGTGATATCCTTTAAATAACAAGCTTCGATAAAAGCAATTTCAAGAAGTGATCGGGAACGAGTGCAAACAAAAAAGAAAAATGAACAAACAAAACAAAACAAAACAAAAAAAAAAAAAAAACAGAAAAAAAGAACGTTTAATGTCCCTCTTTCCATTTCATTGCGATCCAATTTCAGTCATTAAAACGGAGATCAATTAACAACTGACAATATCGATATTCTACTGACACCCCGACAATATTGCTCGTTCAGATTTACGAGCCCCATTTACGCCATCGCGGATTGCCAGTCGTATTAATTTGTCAAATCGATAAAACATTCCAACTTACCACCAATTATAACATCTCTTTCTCTCCGCGTAAAAAACAAGAATGTGAAACGTTTCGAGAAAAAATGTTTTCTCCACTTTGTTCCACATTTAGATTTTTCTTTTTTTTTTAGATACACGACAAGATTTATAATCGAATTCTACTTGTGTACTTAAATTTTGTACTTATTTAGTTTTTTTTGCTTTGTACTACAATTTCCAATTGTAATTTTCGTTCAATTTTAAACAACGCTGGAAATAACATAAACAACAGTGAACAAACAGACACCTGTTTATCCTTTTATGCTACACATTTGTTCACATCGACACCCTTGACGACATATTTGATGCTTTAGTTATTGATAATTCTGATATTAAATTCACAGGTTTCGAACGCTTAATCAGTATTGTAACTTTCAACGTTACTGAATTTAAATTCTCGTAATCTTACGCACTGTGTTGCGAATAATTATAGATTGGGTTTAGGAAACTCAGCAAGAAATTATTAAAAAAATTAAAGAAAATTATTAAAAAACTCCTCCTTTTCCTTAAATTATTCAGTGACACAAAAAATTTAACAAAAATGTCAGAAATAACGCAATGCCGGACATAAAAGATTAAACATGGGACGAGTACGTATATCAAACGACCGATACACTGAACCAATGTGGCATTGGCTATTTAGATCGTTAGTGGAATCGATTGACGTGAACGTACCCTCGCTCTATCTCTCCCTATTTTCAACGGCTGATTAAATTGTGAAACGAGCATGATACGGGTCGGTTAATAGCGTGTACTGCTATAAACATAGCAGATGGTCTGAATGAAACTCCGTGGTAGCATAGAAAAGTTTGACAAAAGAATCTATTATTTTATATTAATTTCATTTTATTTTAAATTTAATTTTATAAAGTTAAAAAGTGCTTTGAAATTAATTTCCTGAAGATTTCCTAATTTTCTCAAGTTTATTAAGAGACAAATAACATGAAAATGAATATATCTTTCCAAATCGCAGAATTATATTTGACAAAAGAGAGAAATAAATAAATAACTCTTGATATAATGGCACAGACAGTGAAGGAGTAATTCTTCGTGCAAATGTAAGTCGAAAATAAAAAATAACACTGTTTTATGTAAGATGTACTGTTTTCACGAGAATGATTGAAAATTTATCAAATTTATAATTTATATTTGAATTTGGATCGGACCATATTTGAACTGAAGATTCAGTTATTTAAATTGAAGATTAAACAAAAATTATATAATATTTAACATGATGTGACAAATTACAATAACTAATGCTTGTCAAAGAAGATTGAAAAGAAAATTGTTAACCAAACGAAAACGCAAATTTACGAAATGGCACAGAGGAAATTGTAAAATAAAATTTTCTTCTTGTCAGTTTGTTAAAACTTTCGTTTTCTAAATAATACTTTTCTTTCTCTGCGGACTCTTCAAGTATATTTGACAAATTTCCAAAATTCATCACATGAGGATTTAGACGTTTCAGGATGGATTAATGTTGCTAATGCAATAAATAACAAAGTATTTGGTAAACTATTAACGCTCATATACCTACTATAAACATTGTTCTCTCTATACGTTTGAGAAATATTTCCCTTTACGCGCGATTCCGAGAAACATTCCACACATCGAAAACATTTTTCACAATTTCGTGGCTTTTGCAACCGCGCAAAGTTAAACACAGTGTATTTGCAAAACGCAGCTTCCAAACGTAGTGCAAGAAACAGTGGAACAAACACGTCGTTGGAAACTCATTGAAAACGGTGTTTAATAACGTAAAACCAGAAGCGATGTAAACCGTATTGAAAGAGTTGTTAGCTCGAAGTTTACCGGTAACTCGGTGAAATGACAGAGGAGGGGTGAAAGTAGTAACAACAATTGAGAAAGTTTAAACAAGTGGGAAGTTGCCCCCGTTTCATTATTTTAATGAAAGATCCGAGAAAGATTAACTGCAGCTATATACCAATGATACGCTGAGACACCAGGAAACAGAAATTGATGTCTCGCGATGACAAATGACTTAAAAATGTGACAAGCCTTAATTACTTGAAAATGTAAGATCACAAGTACATACATTATTATTTATCAAATGAAATATTGATGAAATGATTCGATTGAACTTCCATTAAAGTGAAACTTTTCCATAAAATCTTAGAAAAGAAAATTTCATTTTTATTTATACATTACGAAAATAGGTGTATATGTATTTATGCATTTATAAATAACTTGAAATGTAATAGTAATTTATTTATATAACGTGGGTTGCTTAGAAATGTGGCAACAATTTCAGATAAACGAAATACAAATACTAAATACATTGTCATTTTATAAACATTCTTTAAAATTATCTTGAAACATTTACAAAATCTCTATTTCTTATTTATACCAAAATCATCTTAAAATCTTCAAAAAATGGATCCAATTCATTTTGTTTCGAATGAAAAACGATATAGCATAGTGATAATATATATATATATATTTATAATTTAGAATTTAAAATTAAATGTCACAGATATATTATTATTCAGTTACTTTATACACTCTAATTACAATCATCTTGAAACTTTCAAAAAATCACAGCTAAAAATATGTACAATGAATTTAAGAATTTCACTGTGACAAATCACAAACACATTATT